TCAAAAAATGTCTAGTTTATGACAAAACAAAGGGTGTTATTTTTCATCAAGAAAATGGCAAGCTCAGAATACATTCCAGCCAGGTCAGCATAAGATATAAGTGCGAATTGCTTAGTCAATTTACTCAGCAATTTCCCTTTGCTTTAAGCTGAAAAGTAAAGCTTTATATGTGAAAAGCCAAGTAATGGATTAAATATTGTCATATCTTGACCACTGGATAGACAGACAAAAGTTAGATATCGAATATAAAAAGAAAGGATTGCAGCCGACCACCCTGTCCTATGGCTGATAAAGATTTCCTTAGCAATGGTTGCATACCATAACAATGTCTGCCACATAGCAGAAAAAAACTCATCACGAACTCGTTAAGGTCAAGGAACAGTGCACCCTGAACCTCTCTGCACAATCATAAGTTAAAAATCCAAGGTAATTCTCCTTAGGTTTCGAATAAGGCCAATTGACGGATCCCTTACAGCTAACTTTTCCTTTGAAGTAAAGACTAAGTTGGAACGAAACTACAAATGGAGTCTTAAAAACCAAACTTATGTCTGATATACTGAATACCCATTAAGTATGTTTAAAAACAAGAGCTTAAATTGCATACAAGTAGTATAAATTAACGAGCTGTATTAGAGGGCTAAGAATGGCTAGACTCACTGACGATGCCGGCGAAACGTCTGGGAAAGTACCACTTCCACGGTCCGACTTTGAAAATGATCATGCATACAATGGACTCCGGACTAGGTGTGTTCCTCTAAGTCTTCCTACAAATATGACCAAGTTGCGAAAACAAATTCAAACAAATTCTATGCAGCAAAAGGAGTCTGAGACCACACATAAGGTCACACCATCTTGGTCCTCATACCTTCGATTAAATTAACTTATACTTGCGAGAAACGAACCAACTAAAGAATCACAGCATCTTTTACCTGGTACCCTGTACAGAGAAGCACTGAAGCATAATGAATCCTTACCAACATGAGTAGATAACTGGGAAGTTGGACAAATGCAGGATGAAGATAGCGGTCTGCGATAAAGCAACGGCACGGGATATTGAGCCTGTCGAGTTGCAGCATCAATAAAGGGCAACCGGAGAAGGCGAGCTCGAACGATGTGACGATTAAAGACAGATGCATCTGTGAGCGCTGCAGTATAGGCTGGATTGCCTATCAGGTACGGATGACCAAGCACCTGTGACACAGGGGCTGTCGTCTCGTTCTGGAGCTGAGACGATGAATTCGAGGTCGTCATGGTATTAGAGATAACTGATAAAACCGGTGGCGGCGAAATGTGTGCACAAGAGGAATACGGCTGCGCGGGCCGCGGAGAAGAAAGCAAGCTAGAGGTAGGATGGCGAAAGGATGAAGATCTTGTGCTAGAAGGTATTGACGTAAAAAGAGGTGGAGTAGCACGTATTGGCTCACGCGTGCGAGAACGTTCGCGATCGCGGATTCGGTCTCGGTCACGGTTTCGCTCCTGTTCATGATTGCGTTCTTTCTCCTAATGTTTGAAATTGAAAGCATTCCATTTCATGGTAAGGATGGAGAACGAAAAAGTGAATACGTGATTTGGCAATGTATTAAAAGATTACTATTTAACCAGAAAATGTCTTTGCAAAGGGTTTGGAAACTCATACAAGCAGGAGAGAGACTAGATTTTCACAATTCCAAATTCTAACCAAAATCGTAATGAGAGAATGGGAAAAGGCTTCAGATTGGCTAAAAAAGAGGTATTAACAGATGACCTGCATAAGAGAAACGCAGTCTTACAAAATATTCTAGCAATAACGTTGTGCCAAAATTACAATGAAATAGTAATTTTCAGTAGGCAACGCTGTCCAGCCATATAAGCAAAATTATTGTAACTCTATAATATCTATATTCTATTACTATTATCTTAATATTAGACAACAGAGTGGCAGATGAGTTGAACTAATAATCAACTTAATAATATTCCTTAATTCGAAATAATAATACCTGGATAGACCTAGACACTATTAGAATTAGAATTTCTTAATATTAATAGCATATATAAAGCTAATATTAATTAAAACTGAAATAAAAAATATGTTGTAGTAACTTCATGTAACTTAAACGTGCATCCTAATTGAATAAAAAACATTGATCTCATTATTTCTAGTTATTAGTGCTGATAAGACTTTTTCCCATCAATTTATTTTAGCTATGATTCTCTGATCACCAAACTATATGTCATGGACCATCGTTTTCATCATATGGCAAAGCGCTAAAGAACGAAAACAGACAAGGCGTGAATGAGCCACAAAGCAGATGTGAATTTCAAGACAAGACATACTACTCAAATACATCTATGTTAAAGAGACATATATCAATAGGTCAAGTTCGTATTAACCGAAGGTATGAAGAGCAAGATGGTGTGGTCAAATGCGATGCCCGAATTTCATTGGGCAATAGGGAAAGGATGTCAATGGCCTCTAATCTTCCGTTTCTTTGTGCCTTCACCCTATGAAGCCCATCTTTCTGTTGATTTCCAAGTGATCTCTTGTTCAGGCTGTGCGACGTGTTCCATTATATCTGATCTTTCAGTATCCATTGCCCTGCAGAGCTTTTGATGTTACTTGATTCTTATGCTGATTTTTTCTCCCTGTTTCGCCAATATATTCCTGTTCGCAGGCGCCAAACGCTATGCAATAAAATCCCGATCAATCATATTTGCGTACCCTCTCATGTTGCGTAGGTAGAATTGTAAAGGGTGTTGTTTTTTCTTTCGTGGTCACCTGAATATTCCATTTTATTAATAAAGAGTATTTTTGAGCTAGTTCGCAGGAAGGGAGGCATATCCACTTTTGTGCCATCGGCTCTTCACGGATCGTATGCTTCTTTGTATTACTTCTCTCGGGTATCCGTTGCCGAGAAATATAGCTTTAGCATTCCAAGGTCTGATGCACCACTTAATACAAAGAAACTTAGACCTACTATTTTCTTTTACTACTCCATGTAGCATTCTCGTTAAGTAGTATAGCCTTTAACTCATACGCCACTCAAATATTATTTGGAATTTGAAACAAAGATATGCACACCAAGAAATGAGCGTTGCTAAAACTGCTGATGATTAAGAAAATTATTTGAAAGGATAAGAAATTGTAGTATATTAAAAAATTAAGGCTTTTGGTAGAAATAAGATATGGTTCAAATTCAAGTTAATAAACACACTTTTTTCAACTGAAAGTGGATTACACAAATATCAAACTCTAAGAAAATCAAAGCCATCTATAGCGAACATCTATTCTTATTAGTATGTAAGTAGAGTTTCGAGACTACCAGTAAATCAGTAATATGAGATGTATTCACCCCATTTCGTTTAAGGTGATGAAGGACTGATAGTAGAATTTCCCCACAATGATATGAGTAGACATGAAGTTTCCATTGCATTTCACATCTGTCCTGTGACTCAAGGGCACTCGTGGCAATGTGGCCAAGTGGTTATCGTGTCAAGCTCACATTCTGCACTGTCACGGTTCGACTCCGGCTGGGAATGTTGATAAGACCTATTTGAGGTCAAAACTGCAGTTAACCCTGGTTGAGAACAACTTTTGGAAAGCAAGGCTATGTGAAATTCAATTTATCTCTACTTATATCATTGTGGGAAATTCTACTACCAGTCCGTCATCACCTTAAACGAAATAGGATGAATACATCTCATTATCTTATTAGATTTATTGATTTCAACTAATAGCACTCAAAATTTAGGACCTCAGTGTTAATTCGACGAGTTATGCAAATATGTAATTTGAAATGTAGTGAACTTAAGTAGGTTTCGAATTTAGCATTAGATTTGAATAAGAGATTTCCTTATCGTAGATCGACCAAACTGATGAAGGAATAATACTTGAATGTTCTTACAATGATATAAGCAGGCCTTAGGATGTCAATTAATTTAATTTAGCCTTGTTTCCTAACAGATATTCTTATACACGTTAAACTACGGTTTCGACCTCGCATGGTTCTCTTCAGCACTTCAAATGGGGATCGAACCGGTGTAGTGCATAATTAGTGTGATCAGAGGTTACAGTCGAATTGCCGATATAAGTAAGTATTGGGACCAATACCTGATCAAACGTGTACATGGGAAAGTAGAGTAGGAGCCACTTGATTCTTATTACACAGGGTTTCTAACATTGTTAAAACTTCGATATCGAAACTCGAATAGCTCGAAACTCGAATATTGAATAGAATCTCAATACTCCCAGTTGACTTTTAGTAATAGTTTTAATCAGCCAAGGTCTCCTGAGGTGATGAAGGACTAATTAGTCAATTTTCCCACAATCACGAGTAGGTCTCAGAATAGCATTTTACTTAATAATACTTCTCACAAGACATTCTCACTCAAGCAGGGCCGCAGTTTATAAATCACTAGGGTCTCGCCAG